ATTTCACTCTATTTTTGTTGTCACTTTAGCTTTGCGTTTTTCCACTTGAAGTGACTCTTTCTATGGTATTTCATACACAGATAGGATACCTGGTAGGGTTCAGATCCTGCCTGCTACTCCATCAGTCTCAGTGGTATAGCTCCAAAACAGCTTGGTGTGCATGGACTGAGGTCACTGCCATGCAGAGATACCCTTCGGTTGGCATCTCTTTGTCATTAGCTGAGGTCTCTGCGGCCCTATAGCTAGGAAGAGTGATTCAGAGAAACTCCCTGATGCCTTCATGTGGATGATGAGCTGGGCTGGGCGAAGGGCTGGTCAGCATGGCTGTCTGAAAGTCAAACAACTCAAGCACACATGGTTTCAAGGTGTGAGCATCAGTGATGTTTTGTCGTTCTACGGAGCTGATGTTTTCTATGAGCTCTTTTAGATGTGCCACGGTGCACCCTCACACTGCAGTCCATTTTCTCCAGGCATCAGATGGCCATTGGTCAGTGTCATAACCGCCCATGGCCTTGGCCATGTGCCTGGGCTTCCTTCCTGGGGGAAGGGAATGATTCTTGTGAGCACCCAGCTCACAGCTAGCAGCGGGTCTGCAGCTGTATATGCAAACCCTGAAGTACTGTGGGATTGTTGTCATATTCCAGTCTGCCTTGCCTTCTGGAAAAGAGCTGTGGTCCCTGTCCAGGGAGGTCACCCCTCTCTTGTACTGAAATGGCAGAACCATGGGTCATCATCTCCTGATGCTGTTTTCTTTCCAAGATCATTAAAGCCTCTCAGAGAGGTAATTCCCAGCTTTCCGGTAAGGATAACGTTGACAGTACCTAATTAAAGGGCACTTTTAGCCGGGATAAACATTTATATTAATTTCCTTCTCACACAGATGTCTGGTAAACTGACTTCCTGAGGCAAAACCATCTGGCCTCAGGTGGGAGGGGTATCTCAACCAGCATGAAGAACCTGACCCAACTCCCACTGGACTGTTTCTAAATGGCTTTTTCTGTCACTTGAAGTGGCAGACATATGAAATACCTGCAGTAGAGTTATATAGGTTTTGTACACGTATATATTGTACATATAGGTTTGCCTTGGAAGACCTGCATGCTGGTACTGCGTGCTGGTGGCTCCAGGCTCCGCTTCCAATCGTTTATTCTAGGTTTGTCTGTGTATGAAATTAGTATGTGTGGTAAGCAGCAGTAAGATGTTCCCTACTTGGATGGACTAAATTAAAATTCAGTAAGAAACACGGCTTTGGGTGAGATTCCAAATTACTTTCAGGGTTTTGTTGAGGAGATTGTTATGGAATCATAAACCTTTTCAGTGGGCAAACAGCCTGATGCGAGTTACATGCTTTTATTGCCTCATAGTACTCCTCCTATTTTATGTACTGTGCCGTGTAATCTTTTGTTATTAAATAATAAGCAAAATAAAAACAGTTGTTTGTCACAGCCAGCTTGTTTTCCAGAGAATTTGTTCCCTTTGAAAGTTCAGCCTGTGTGATCTTCAGCCCTGTCAGAAGCTATTATACTGCATCTTCTTTTAAATCGTTCAGCTGGAGGACAAACCTCGATGTTATCGCGCACATCTCAGCCGAGAGCGGAGCAGATTCGGTGGGGAGCAGCCTCTGATGACATGTACTGTGCTGCTGGTTTTGTCGGGAACATGTCAACATTATCTGCTTCCAGCACTACGTGTGTTGGCTGACACGAGCATTGGTAGATCTGTATAATTTCTGAAGCAGTTTGAAATGTGGATATAACACCTAGGGCTGTGTGAAGTCTTGAAGTCTTCTTTTTTTTTTTCTTTTTTTTTTTTTTCCCCCCTCCTTTTGATGGCTCATATTGCTGTTCAGAAAGTTGCTGGTTTGTTGCTCCCTCCCACTGTACTGTAATACAGTGCACTGACTGTATTTGATTGTAGAGTTCATAACAGAAGTGCTCCAAGCTAGAGATCGTCATTGCTAACGAGCAACTGCTGGAAGGTTTGGAAAGACCAGGAGCACCACAGCTTTCCAGTCACAGCATTACATTTGAAATAGAGGCTGTTGCTTTAGTGTATTTGGGATCGGACCTTAATGCAGGATGGGATGCTCACTCAGAGGTCTTGGTCTTGGACTTCAAAGGACAGGGTTTTTCTGCATCCCATGAAAGCATATTATAGATTAAAAGTAGGGTGAGATTCTTCACTTCCCTGTTTTTTCAAGCTGCTTGTTTGATCCGTAATGCTCAGACCTGTCTGAACCTCAGAAGCAGTCGTGCTTTTCCATGAGGACACGCAGCACCCCTCTCCTTCATGCTCTGTAGTGCAGCCAGGCAGCAGAAGGAGCCGTATGGGTAGCCATGGCAGCCAGTAATTGATGGCTCCATATGGCCGGTGTGCTGCAGCTGCTCTGGTTTAAGGAGGTCAGGGCATCAGGGCATTTAAGGAACTAACCAAACCTCGGCACCCCTATAAAGCCTTCCTGAATGAGTTTGTACAGTAATAGCAGGCTTTTCCATGGGTATGAGACCAAAGGGAGAGAAATCAATTTCTTTTCTTTTTTAAATGATATTGAAAAGCATTATTTTAGAGGGAAAAGAAGTTTTTCTCTCTTTGGGATGGTTTTTAGTTTTTCTCAGCTCTTGCTGTAGCTTGCAGCAGCACGATGCAGAGGGCTCAGCCCAGCCCTGGGCTTTATGGTGCATGAAATGTTGTGCTGAGAGAGAAACCACATTACCTAAACTGGATGACAGTGCTGTGTTTCTAGTAATGAAGTGACGAAGTACGCTTTGTGAGCAATTGGCATGGAGCAGAAATACAGCTTTAATTTCAGAATGGGTGCAAGAGTCACTCGCTGCTGAAAAATGGCATGGAAGAGCTCTTGGATACAGCATTAGTTTGCAAGTAGGCTTTTCATAAGTGTGAATCTTATTATTTTCATTAGGGGACCATTTTAATTAAAGTGAAACTGGAATGTTTACTTTCTGCTTCCTATAGCTTGTGATGGTTTTCTTCACTGTGTGAGCACTCGCATAATTTGCTCTAAAAGAAGTGTCAGCAGTTTCTGATTACCTTGTGACTCTTACTCAACAGCTTGATTTTAATTGGGGGGAGGAAAGATTTCAGGGTGCTCTAGGGAGGATTGAAGCCTTTTGGTATCATGAAGCAATAGGTGCTATCTTTGGTGCAATGTTAATTACAATAATCACTTCTAGTGGTTTAAAATAAAGGTCCTTCATTGCTTACCCCCGTTGGGCTTTTTCTCAGTTATGTCAGTGAAATACAACCTGGATGATAATTAGCATCCCTCAGCTGCTTAACCTTTTGGCACCGCTGCATTTGTGTTTTTGTAAATGTTTGAACACTGACTTTTGGAAAGCACAGATTGACAGGTAGCCTCAAATTTTGGGAACACTGTACAATTCAGGTTAGGTAAAGAAAGAAGACGGTCAGGCACTTGGGGTGAAGTTCGCCAATACCTTCACATACATTCTCTGTAAGCTCAGAAGTCCGCCAGGAATTGTAAGTAATAGATAATTTATGTAGGTCAAGAGTATCTCTGTCTTGAAGATTTTGATCATCATAAGATATGACAAGAGGTGTCTGTCACAGAAGAATGTGTTCTGGATCGTGCAGCAGTGCAGCTCCCGAAGCACTCCTGTGCCATCTTTTTATCTGTATCTGCTGCAAGGAGTCACCTTGGACTCCTTTGGTTGCTGAAATGCCTTTCGGGTCTTGCAAAGCATTCCAGAGATGACCGTTTTTGGAGCTCAGCCAGTGCCTTGTATTTTAATATTGTCTTCTTCTTCACAGATAATGATCTGAAGTACTCCCTGCTCGTTCTCTGGGGTTATGTTTCCTCCTGCTGATTATTTGAAATAAATAAATAAGTAGGAAAACAACTGGTATCTGTGCGTTAACAGGAAGGAATGACTAATAGAAAAGGGAGAGGAAAGATACTGCTTATCATAAAAGACTACATCTTCAGAAACATAACTTGGTATTCGTTAAGTTGTTTGCGTAGACTTAGTTAAAAGATGTACTTGAGGAGCTGTTGGAGCCGTGTAGAAAACAAGTCATGCTTTTCATGGCTGGATGTATCTAGACGAGGAGGAAAGACTGGAAAGCAACAATAAGTGATGGATTGAGAACAGCCTTCGTGGCAGTAAGGAGACAACAGACTGTGAAATGCTTTTCAGAAAAGAATGATACTTAATGTTCAGCTCTAGTGTAATACTGATCCATCTTTTCTCCTCGGATATGCAGGTCTTCTTTGATGCAATTAAAAAAAATGCTTATGTTCAGTTTCTGTCACTTCTTATTCCAGATATGCAGGGTCCCTTTGTTTTTGATGATGATTTCTGTAACTAAGCTTAACGTTCAATCTGATAATTATGGAATCCTGTGTATAGAGTCTTACTGGTATCTTGCATATGTCATCAAATAAACAGAAGTAGTTGCAGAACAGTGCTGGGTAATTCAGAAGGTGGCTCAGTTTTGCCATGTCTGCATTGTTCCAAAAAATGCATTGTTTTTCCCCAAAGCATAACCTGCACCTCTGAGCCCACCTGTGTTCCTTCCTTGTAGGCAGCCTGCAGGTGCAGCTTTTGCTGTGCTTGGAAGTGCTGCTGCTGGGACGGTAGCAGAGGGATGAGGCATTGCAGAGGGATGAGGGCTGCCTGCTTCTTCTCTTCCTCACTGCTCCCTTGAGTCTTTTTGTTTCTGTAATATGTGATCAAAACATCTCTTTCGTGAACCTTCAGGATGAGATGAGGTGTTGCTGTTGTGCTTGTTGACTGGCATTTTTCTTCATGACCCTGAATTGGGGCAGATGCTTTAGAAGGGAATGTGTGTACTAATTATCGTATGGTATGTGACTATCTGCTGTTAGCTTTCTTTAAAAAAGTAGGTGCACAGCAGAACACTAGCAAAGTGCTTTCGTTTCTTGCATAGTGAATACTGTGCATCAAGCTCTTATTTTGTATATGGTGTAACTTTTCTGATGTTTCTTTCTTTTTTTGCAGATTAAGACCCTTGATTTCTACACAGCTGGCTAAGAAGGCTGCCACAGAGGAGGTATGTAAAGCCCAGCTTTTTGTAGAATCATTAAGGTTGGAAAAGACCACTAAGATCACACAGTCCAACCCCAGCCCAGCCCACCATGCCCACTGCCCACGTCCCTCAGTGCCACATCTCCACGGTTCTTGAACACCTCCAGTGATGGTGGTCCCACCACTCCCTGGGCAGCTGTGCCACTGCATCACCACTCCATCTGAGAAGCGATTTTTCCTAATATCCAACCTGAACCTCCTCTGAACCTCTTCAGTTTGTCTGGAAATTCCCACAAGCTTTTCTCAGCCTGGCTCAGGCTGTATAGTAAATATAGGCAATAGAAATGAGACTCATGTCAGTGGTCAGAGCAGGAGCTGGTTACTACAAGCAGTGCAACACTGAAGTTGCCTGTCTTCTACCCAAGGTTGGCCTTTACTTAACCATCAGTAGCTTTAGCCTCATACCCCTAGTTCAAAAGGAAAAAAGAAAAGATTCCCTGCAAGGGTATGTATTGAATGAGTAGTAGAGCAGAGCTTGTGTCTGTTTCATCACTTGGACCATGCCCACAGAAATGGGGGACGATAGTAAGTGCTGCTTCTGTGGAGATGGTGGTGACACAAGGGAAGGGTTGGGGTTCTGGGGTCTGCCTAAAAAGATCAGTGAAGAAGCATGAAGTGACAGTATATATATATATACCCGGTATAACTTGGCTTACTCTTTTTTTGTTGTTTTGTTTGCTTTGGAAATAATTGTATTTCCATTGAAAAGGTAGAGCTAGTAAGTGGTCACCATCAGAAACCCTCCCAGGGTGGCTTTGTGCATGTGAATGTTCTGCTGAAAGGGTCATGGCTGTTATCACTCACAGCAGTAACAGCTTTCCTTTGCTTTTATATTTACACTGTACAAAGTAAACACATGCGTTTTGCTGGTGATAAAAGAACTGTGTGTCTGACAATTCTGTTCCTAATATACCAAAGGAATTTGTCATTCCTTTCTTTTTTCCCCACGTATGGGTGATACTGATGCCCTTTTGAAAGGGTGCTGGCCAGCTCTGATAGCATGATGTGCTTTCACAATGCCTGTGAGTATGTAAAGTTGCACGCCAAACTGAAGTCCAGGTTGTCTAGAAGTGAGTCCAGGAAGTTCTGTTTAAAGATATTGTTTGACTGTTTTATTTTTAAAATGACTAAAACCCACTGATTTTCAGAAACAGTTTGATATTCTGCCTAGGGAAATACATTTTCACTTCTCATGTTATGCTCATTAGAAAACCCTGCACATTTTTAGAAATATAGCAATCTGGAAGTGGACATGATAATTAGAAGAAGGTCACATTTTAATTAGCATGGTGCAATTTTAAAAAATAATGACTCAATTGTAGCTCTTTTATAGTCACTCACTTTTTCAGAGCAGATGGATACTTTCAGCATAAAAATTATGATTATGACGTTATGATTCATGTCAAACGGTTGGGTCTATTTCTGCTTATACCTGAAATGTAGATGGACTCACCTTCATCAGATTAGAGGCAAAAACAATGGTAGGAAATACAAAATATACTGGAGGGAAGTTCCTTTAAGTTGTATTATTAATTTGAGCATTAGAAATAATGAAAACTTGTCTTTGAGTGATCCAAATACCTAAACATTTCCTGCTGAAATTAATGGGTGCCTTGTGGCCTATTAATGAGCTGTTGAAGCAAACCCATGGATGGCTGTGAACATCTCAGGCAGATTCTTGGTTGACTGGCATGGTATGTGACAATTTTAGGAGCAGCTTTGATGTTTGAATAATTAGACCACCAGCTTTCTGATACGGGGACTTTGTGTTATGGCGTACCTCTGAAGTGCTTGGAGTTAGAAAGATTCTGGGAGTTTCTGTATCACAAGTAAATACGTTACCAAATAAATAATTGCAATGCTGCGACAGACCTTACTGCCAACAGAACTGGAGAAGACGCAGCAGTACATGGTTGTGTGATGTGATTTAAAGCCTGGAGCACTGCAGGGCTTTTCTTGTTGTAGGGGTGAGGGAAGCTGTATGGGGCAGGGTACATCACTGCAGGAGATGGATTTGGTGCCCACCCTATTCCTGAAGTGGAGACAGCATTACCTGCATCTCCACATTCACTGCTGTCTGCTTGCTGCGTGCTGCTGTTGCTCTCTCTCCCAGTGTCCTGCCTAACCTTGGAGCATCTGAGTAGGTGCAGGTGCTGGAATGGGTCCATCAGTGACCAATTCTCAAATGAGAGCTTGGAGGTCGTTATTCTGATGTATTTCATAGGAAATGGTACAGATGCTGTTGTGTATTATCAACTTAGTGCTCTACCATCGCATTAAGTGCTGTCTAAAGAGTGCCATTTGTTCCACAGCTCATTGTGCCTCCAAATAAATCCACCCAGAGCTGTCAAAGCTAATAGTCTTTCTTTTTTTTTCTGATTTGAAGGGTACATTTTTACCATCATTGAAGTGCCAATAACATTGTTACTGTGTAATAGGCTTGATGTGAGTCAAGCACAATGAGGAAAAGGTTGTGAGCTTTCCTGCAGGGCTCTGTTGAGGAGCCCTCAGGCCCAAATTTCTCTGTACCTTCTTCTCAGGGGAAAGTTCTTTACCAAGAGAGTGGTGAGGTGCTGGAACAGGCTGCCCAGGGAGGTTGTGGATGCCCCATCCCTGGAGGTGTTCAAGGCCAGGTTGGATGGGGCCCTGGGCAGCCTGGTCTAGTATTAGATATGGAGGTTGGTGACCCAGCAGGGGGATTGGAGCTTCATGATCCTAGAGTTTCCTTCCAACACAAGCCATTCTATGATTCTAACTTGCCTGTTCTCTGGAACGGCTACACCTCCAGTACTTGATGTTGGCTTCCAGCTCTCTTCTTGCTAAGCGTTACATAGAAATATTGAATAAAAAGGACTGTCCTACTGCCCTGTCTTCTGTTTTGCAGGTGACCTTTCCAAATGCACAAGCAGAAGTCTCTAACTTAGAAAAGCCAGCAACTGTGCTAGTGGAGAGTGGCCCAGTGGCTTATAACCTTGATGAAGAGGTGGAAGAGGAAGAAGCAGAAGAAGAAGATGATCACTGCATGAGTGCATTGCAGTTAATGGGAGGAAACGGTAAGTTGGGTTGCTGTCTGCGTTACAGCCTTTTATTTCTCTGGTGCTGTCAGGTTTCTTGGTGCAGAGTTCAGGACAGACAGGGTTCCTGTATTTGTCTCAGCCCTTTGGCAGCTCATCCCAAGCTGAGCTCATTCTTGCGAGAGATTGGAGTCACCTCTGTCAAAAATGGGACTTTCTTAGGGATTCCTCCAGAGAAAAGTCTGTGTCTTGATCTTTAGGTTAAGAGGGTTTTCAAGAGGAAAATGATGTTGGGTCTTCTTTGGAATGATATTTATTAATGTGAATCTGAGGAATTAAGGAGTCAGTAACCCCTCTATTAGAAGAGTTTGGGGCTCATTGCCTCACAGTGGTGCACAAGCCCTTTAGACTTGACTGTCCAGCTCAAGGCAATCATCACAGCCTATTTCTGGAATAAGTGTTAGGAGGAAGGAGTTGTCCAAATTCAGAAATGACATCGATAGTGTGTGGTGTGCTCTATGGCATGCAGATGTGTGCTGATTTCTTTGGGCTACCCAGCAAAGCCTCTCACTTAATTGGACTTCTCTGCTGACAGGAAAGGGCAGTATCCTTTTTGTTGTGTTCTTCCTAGCAGGACACGTCCATGTTTATCTTTTATTAAAAACTTCCCCTTAGAAGTTAAGCCTTGAAAATATACAAAAATATTTTTGAAATGAGGGCAGCTAATTATGTGTTTTGAAAAAGCAAGATGAGAAAAAGGCTCCTCCTGAAATGTTATTTACTGCAAAAGTCTTTCCAGAACTATTAATTTACCTTTCATGGACTATATATATATATATATATATATATATATATATATATATATATATAGTTTTCATAAAAGCATCTGTTGCTTTTAAATTGATTTCTCCACTTCAAAATAATTGCTGAACCTTAGGAAAAAGCAGTTTGTTGCCTGCATTTATTATTAGAATAACATTCCCAAGAAAAGATACCCATGTGGGGGAGGGTGGGTCCATGTTTATTAATAAATCCCCAACAAAAATAGAATAAAGGTCACGGAGCTATTTTTTATTTGTAAATGTTACTATTTTAAAACCATTCTGAGAACATTCCGCTGCTCCCTGTCTGGTTTGGACAACAGCTGAAAAATCAGAGTTAAAAAAAATAAAATAAAAAAGGAAAGGACTATTCCCAGAATTCAAATGCAGGTGTGCAGAGCTGTTTAGCAGAACAAATAACTCCTTTCTAACTGCTTTCTTTATGGATTTTAGACCTGTCTGCCTGGAATAACTGCAGGAATTACAGATGCTGAACGTCACCCATTCTAGACGAATTATTATAGATTACACTTTATTTCTGCTTCGAAGCATTTGCTTGACTTTGGATCAAATGCTGCAGTATATTAAATTTGGAATATAAAGGTTAACATCACGGAATGCTCATATGTAATCGTTATCTTTAGGTTTGACTTTGCAACAGCAAATGTCTTTCTCACTTTATTCAGGAAAGACACAGAAGAGAAGTTAGTGCATTAGAAACACACAACCGAGCCTTCTAATGAACAGAACACACGGATTTTACAACCAGCATCATTTTAGGAAACAGAACTAGACTGAAAAAATGGACAAAATTTTAAGTTGTGCCTCTAGGAGTAAGTAGGTGTGGAAGTTCTGAGTCAGATGTGTGGGACACATTGCATGACTCATCTGTCACATCCCTGGAGGCTTCCAAGGTAAGGCTGGATCAGGCCCTGGGCTGTGGTGTCCCTGTTCATTGCAGGGGAGTTGGACTAGGGGACCTTTAAAGGTCCCTTCCAACCCTAAGGGACCCTATTCTATTCTACGTAATGAGGTCCCAGTGATAAGTGAGGAGAAATATTTATACACATATATTTACAAATAATTTTATTATATGGAGGAAGAATGGTAGAACTTTTTCATCAACCTGAAGAAAATATGTGATTTTTTAAATGCTTTTTTTATGGCAGAACTTATGATGTAGTTGGACAGCAAGAACACAACCTGAAAGTTGCAAGTGCTTATGTTGAATGTTCCACCTACCTGGAATATTTGCATTTTTATTTATCTTTGTCTTCATGTGTTTCAGATTATGGCTGTGATATGGATGATGACGATGGCTATTAGTTCTATTTACTTCTAAAGGACATGGACTATTTCTCATTCCCAGAAAAACTGCAATCTTCAAACTGTATGAAAGAAGCAGTCTGTGGTCAGCAAATGTTATCAAACAATCCTTACTTCTGTAAAGTGAATTTTAGCTTTGCATTGACTCTGGTCGGTTTACATTGACCCATAACCCAGCAATAATGTTTGGGTTTGTACTTGAATTATTTTTATTTTGGTGGTTGTGGTTTGAGAATGAAATTATTGGGAGTCATGTTTTCAGACAACAGAAGAAAGAGACAAAATAGACAATATAAAAAGAGTTATATGACTGCTTAGTGCATGTTATTGAAAGGGAGCATATAGAAGGACAGATAGAGGGATGGATAAAAACAAGAAGCTCACCAGCTGATTGAGTACACCAGGATTAATTGTTTTAAATACTACAGCCAACAGAGAACATTTCCAACCTCTACTGACAAATTGACCTTGTCATTCTGTGCAATCTCCCATGCTCAAGCCTATCATAAATTGACAACAAGTTATGTATTGTACCTGTTTCTCTGAAATGGAGTAAATACTTACTGATATTAATTCATAGATGTCTAAAAGTTGTTTCAGTAGAAGGTAATGTTGGCAGTGAGGAAGTGACTTACGCTGTAAGTCAGATATTTATGTGTAAGGAAGGAGAAACCCTGGGTGAGGCAAGAATTGGAGAGAGAAAGCTGGAGACATTGCTGGTGTCACGTACCTTTGGAGTCACTGGGGACAGCCAGGAGGTGTTGTGGCTGGTGTTGCTGAGGGGAGTGACTCCAGCCATCTCTACAGAGCTGCTCCCATCCAACTGAGTTGGAGTGCAGGTCTGCTCCCAGAGCTGCCTGGCTTTAAAACTGGTTGAAAGCAAGAGAAAGCTGAGCTTTTTAATAAATAAGCTAGCATCTGCTTTGGCTGAATTTAATTTTATGTAATATATTTAACTTTCTGTGGGTAAATTAAAGGTCACCATGCAGCAGCCTGAATTTCATGGCTCAAATCCTACCCTTAAACAGTCTCTGCTACATGAATAATGCTGGAGCTTCGGCTGTATGTGCCCCAAAATGTCAGCAGGCAGATCCTTGTCACCCAGATCAGCAGTCCACACGGTGTGGTGGAACAGTTGATCAGGAACAGATCTGCAGTGCTGGATCCTACCCTCCTGCCTCTGTGCTGCCTTTCCCTGACACTGCTGGGTCTCCAAGGCTCCCACCCCAGTGTGAGATGCACTATGGTCTTGATGGCTGCAGCTGCAGGAGTTGGGGTGCTTTCATCTCTCTCTGTTGTCTGTGACAATCATGAATGCTGTAGTATTGCAGACTTCTCTTCTATCAGGGAAAGATGGATGTTTATCTTACCAGTATGGTTTCTGTTAAGCTGGCTTTCCTGGCTAGCTTATCCTTCCTATCCTTTCTGGGATTTTAAAGCAACACTCATTAAGTCACCAGCAATTCTGCTGCCACAGAGGGTGGATAGTGTCAGGAAAAGAAGCTGCCTTGTGAAGGGACAAACTCCAGAGAAAGGAAGGGACCTATGGTTCTCGTACCCGTGGTCATTGCCAACAAGGGAAAGGACCATATGGCCCTCCGTACTTCTTCTGTCCCTTTCAGTAGCTTGCATAAAGGGGATCATGTAAATAGAGCCAGAATGAGTGCATTTTTTAGGCACAGAGTTGATTTTGTTTGGCTGGTAAATGTAATGTGTTGAGTAGGTTTTATCTGCTAGATATTTTGAGTCCCAAACAGGAGTATTTCTCAGTGATCTCTCTTAACAGTAGAGCTTGGTTAAAAAATAAAATAATAAAGAAAAAGATGTTGTAAGACTAATGGGAATAAAAGCTCTTCTGAATCAGTTTTCAGTTACTTGGTTTGCAGCACATTGAAGAGATTCCTTATGATTGCTGGGAAGCAGCTGGTGCTTTCATCAAACAGCCATAGCTTTTTTTTCGGATACTTTATAAGTACTGCACAAAAAAGTTCATGGAGGAGATAAACCTTTCTACCTCTCTTTTATCTATACCATAATTCAAAATCATGCTAGAAGCTGACAATAAAAATAAAAAAGTAGTTTGTTTTATCAAAGTTCACGGTCTGCGAGTCTTTGAGACAGCTGAGTTTGAGCATTGGGGTTTGAATTAATCTGTCAGTAGCACTATTACAAGTTACCGTGCTCTCAGTGTATTCTCAGAGCTGGGTTTTATTCCAGGGTACACATTATTCTCTATGCAGGAAATAAACACGCATAAATAAACATGTGTATGACTCATGTAGGTCGAGAACGTTTCTCAAATGCATAACGTCGGTTCTTAAAGAAACGGCTGAGCTCCATATTGCTGAGGGTCTTTCCTCCAGTTTTCTGTGTCAGTTTTCATGGGTTTGTTAGCCCTACAGAATATTAAACCTGCTGCCAATGTAGGGACATTACGTGTGAGAGCCGAGAGTCCACTTGAATAACTCCTGCTAGCAAATGTTAATTTCGGTAGCACGTTGCGTTTCTGAGAACATTGTCTCCTGCACTGGGAGCAGTGAATGCTTTTCTATATCAGACAGGAAAATACTTGCAGGTTTTGAAAGCTCTCATGAGATTTGATTAGAGGAGGCTATGTGATAGAAGGGCAGTTAGAGAGCAAAAAAGGACCTGCAAGCCCATAGCATCTCAGTATTGCTGGTGAAGCTAATGGCATGGTTTCTGCACAGGAGTCCTAAAGGCAGAGCCGTGGTATTGCACTGAGCTTTGCAGGCTTCTTAAACTGTAGTGGTTATCATAGAGTCATAGAATGGCCTGGGTTGAAAAGGACCACAATGCTCATCTAGTTCCAACCCCCTGCTATGTGCAGGATCACCAACCACCAGACCAGGCTGCCCAGAGCCACATCCAGCCTGGCCTTGAATGCCTGCAGAGATGGGGCATCCACAGCCTCCTTGGGCAGCCTGTTCCAGTGTGTCACCATCCTACGTGTGAAAAACTTCCTCCTAATATCTAGCCTAAACCTCCCCTGTCTCAGTTTAAAACCATTCCCCCTTGTCCTATCACTGTCCACCCCTGTAAACAGCTGTTCCCCCTGTTTATATGCTCCCTTCAAGTATTGGAAGGCCACAATGAGGTCTCCCCAGAGCCTTCTCTTTTTCAAGCTAAACAAGCCCAGTTCCCTCAATCTTTCCTCATAATATATTATATTATGTATATTTTTAATTTATTGGTGACTTACCGGGATTTTTATAATGTTCATTCCTTCTTGATTTAACTAAGCTCAGGAAATGTAAACAGATTAGAACATGCTAGTTTCTGTTTTTATAGCTAGACATTAAAATGTAAAAAGATTAACACTGCATTAACTCTGTTTACTACTGTTGATGTATCTGGACTATTTTGTTGTATGTAAGTGAGCCTTTATTCTCTTGGAGTCATTTGGACCTTGCTTTTTTCAGGATTCCGATTATAACAAAGATAGACCATAGGGCTTCAACATCTGTTGTCCCTGGGTCTTCTTTCTTGAACTCACACAAGCTGTAGATGATAGGTTTTCTTGCATAAAGCATGTCTCTTGCTGCAAGTCACTTTGCTTGACAGGCAAAATTCTCCAGCTGTTGCATCCAGCTTGTCTGCCATGCAGCCTTTTAACAATCTTTTATTGTGGGGATAAAAAAATGAAAGAAATAAGGAAAATAATAGGATTCTTCACTGGGGTGAGTGTGTTTTCAGAGACTTAATCATCCATGACGTTTCTTTAAGTCCGCTGTGTTCAGTTCAGCAATTCAGAAATGGTGCCAGACAGACAGCCTTGTTTTGAGGGTTAAACATATTTGTCTAAAAAGTCCTTGCCATCCTGATGGCTCGTTTGTATTCCGTGGATTGCATTGAAGCTCTCATCACAAATGCGTGTACACTTAATGTAGAGTTTTGCTTAATAAATGTTCTGTTTCCTACTTTCATGTTGAATCCTTGCATTTGGTTCACTTAGTGCCAGGGATGTTAAACCTGCTTGATGTAAGCACATGTATCTTCCTTACACAACCACAATCTGAGTCATGTTAAGCTTTCTTTTTTTTTTTTTTTTTTACTGTAAGATATTTGCTGTAAATAAAAAGTAAAACCCTTGCAGAACCCATCTTTTATGGTGCTCTTCTACTAATTTCTGGTTCTTCTATCTTTGTTCTTGTGAATGTTTTTTTTGATTGGTTGACAGTGGAAGAAATACTTTTAACTCAGAGCTTTCTTCTGTCTCTAAAAGTGAAGATAAGTCTCATCAGGTAAGTGTTTCTTACAAGAAATTGTTCTGCTGGTAAATGTAGATACTTTCTGTAAACTGCATTACGTTAATGATGTTTTAGCACCAAACTATATAATTAATTGACTGTAGAAGCAGTGTGTAGTATGTGGTAGAGCAGTTACCAGTAGTTTTGATATAGGGATGTTTTGATGTAGGGATGTGGTTCAGTGAGCATGATGGGGATGGTTTGATGGTTGGACTGTATGATCTTGGTGGTCTCTTCCAGCTTTAATGATTCTGTGATTCGGTGACGGGGTGTGGTGGGATGGTTGGAATAGATGATCCTAGTGGTCTTTTCCAACCTTTATCATTCTATGATATGATTTTGAACATGCGTCATTCCAGCTTTACTGCATTCCCTTAATCTCTTCTAGGTACAGTCTTGCTCTCTTTGACATCAGGATGTTTTTATTTGTAGTTTCTTTACAGCTGTTCCAATCCTTTCCAATGGTGGTTGGGAATTTTTCCAGTGATGTCCATCATTGGTGCTCTCTCCATCATAATATCCAAATTGCAATGAAGTACTGTTTGCCTCAGTCTCATATTTACTGCCTTTCCCAAGCTGTGCAGTTTATTAGCTTTGTCCTATAATTTTTTGTCTTCCCTACCACATCAGGCTGTCATAGCCAAAACCATTCTGTCCTCCCAACTGCCTTCATCAAATACGCCTCCTTTAAGGGTCTGAAAATTAAATAATGTTAACAAAGCTGAAATATCACAAAGATTTATACTAGCTTCATTTGTCACCAGCAGATCATAATGTCCTTGTGTTTGAGTTCGCACATTGTAACAGAAGAGGTGCTGGAATCTCCTACTCAGGCACACTCTGAGAAGAGTTGTAGGATGATATTCCATGACTTTTTGCCCTGGAGCTTGGCTGTGGTCTTGGTGAGTGGTGTTTGTTTAGTGAGAGGGGTGAAGCACTGAGAAATGAGGCAGGAGGAATGCTTACAGCCTAACAAATCTACTTGATGAGTTTCTTCATCTTAATTGTTTTATTCTTTTGGGACTGTTGTGCATTTTCATGGAAATGAGGGAGGCAGATACATTTCATAAAAATGCAAAATGAAAATCCCATCCTGCCACGTGATTTAATGACTTCTTGTCTGAATCTTGTGTTTGTTGTTGTATGGGCTGGCAGTAAGTGGCATTGCACTAGACACCGGGACGGCAGGCGTTTTATTATCTGTCTCCATTGCACAATTGCAGGAAGGATGCTTTCTTACTGCTCTTAGTGCTCCTAGTGAGGTTTCTCAATTCTTCAAAACCAGAAAAATACTGCAAATTAGAGGAATCTGAACAAAGCAATGAAAAGAAACGGCACCAACGCTGCTTTTACCAAATGATTTTCAGTGCTCTTCTGTGAGAATGGTAAAATCTATTTGTACAGGGAGGCTAAAAAGTAGTAAAGTTCTGTCTTGAGTGGTGGGGCTGGCAGGTGTGCAGCTCCTGTCCTCTGCTCTGATGTGGTCTCCCGGGTCTGCCTTTATGTCAGAAGTGCTGCTCCTGCTCTTGGCTGTATACCTTTCTGCAGATCAGAATTTTGGAGCAAACATCGTAAGCAAAAGTCTTATGTGAAGAATGTGAGCCCTGCTCTAAGTAGATGGCTGTTGGTAGTGAGGGGTCTTCAGTTCCCCAAAATGCAAAAGATTCATCAAAACAGGGACGCATGGACATATCCGTGATAGATCTGCACAGTCACTGCAAATTGGTTCCTGTGTCTTTGCATCAGGCAGTAAGCTTTGCTGCTTTACATCAGCTGAGGATCTGTGCCACTAATGACAGTCCCAAGGGCGCTAACAGCAGGAGAGGGAAAAAAGTGCCCAGGGGTAAGTAATGGTGTGATATGCAGTATGTTGCCCAAAGCCAATTCTTGCTCTGTTTGTCTAGCCCATCAGTCTGCCTTTCTTCATTAACCAGCAGAGTGGAGTTACCTGTTCTGGTGATGTTAAAATAAATGAGAAAATGGAACTTCAGTGGCGATACAGCTGTAGCGTGCAGCACATAATGCATTCCTCTTCAGCTCTCTATGGCAGTGGCTGCAGCTGTCAAAACTTTCTCTCTCTAGGTGGTAATAGACTACTCCGACACATATCTGTAATTGAATAATGATTCTTCAGAGCAGCACTGTGTCTGGGAAACAGGCAAGATCCGTGTATCTGCTTTGATTCCTCCCCGTTCGCTGAGAGCTCACCAAAGGAGAGTCTATACAAACACACCAGCACAATTCAAATAAGATTCATGGGTTGACACGGGGTAACATACAGCTAAAGCAAATGGTTTCAAAACTCCACTCACTGTTTCCAAGCAAACTCTTACACAGGGCCACTGGGAAATTGTTTGACACGGCTGCATGCTGCATTAAATCAGGAGGACCTACCGTAAGCTCCGAGGTCTCCAGCAGCAAGGCAGTGCGATGTGAATCATTGTATTTTCTTTCTGGACTATCCAGCACCAAGAGAAAGAGTCTGAGTGGGTTTTGCTGCCCGCGGAAAGATGAAGGATCTTTCATCTTTTTGATCTTCCTTGTATATTTTAGGTTGGTTCAGAGGAGCTGGCTGCACTGCATTAATAAAATGCCATCTAAAGCTCTGTTAGCTGGTGTGCTTGGTATTCATGCAAGTATAAATTTTCCGGTCTCCTTTAGGCTGTGAAGCAGAATCTCTGACCATAGGGGCATTGCCAGCCTTTGTACAGGAGCCCAGCTCAGACCCCAAGCACTGTTGCTGCTTGTGGGTGTAACAGAGGTGTGAAGCAGCCACATCTCAGGTGATTGTGCTCTGTGGTACATCTATAAGGAGATCATATATGTCCCCATCTGCTGCAGATTTGAGTGAGGAGAAGCCAGTGTACTGATACCACCGTGCAGAGAGGTTGGGTCCCCAGGGCTGTGTTCAGCTCATGGATCGGTCCCACAGTTACTACTACAGCACATATGCCCAGGAGATAAGCAGTTGAGGCACCTCAGGTAAAGATTGGAAGTGGACAGGAAAAATATGGAGCTATTGCAGGACACAGGCAAGGTTTGGAAGGAAGGCTGTGGCTGCGCCAGCGTCATTTCAAGCTTGCTTTTACAGCCAAGCTTAGCTATCTACTTCTTGGGTAGATCTTGTGTTTGCGGGAGGCACACATGGCTTTGCCTTTTTTTTTTTTCCCAAGTTATTCCCTCCACTTCTGTAAGTTGCACCCTTGCTGTGATTTGCAGCTTTCCTTCCAAGCAGAGTCCTCTGTGCCCAGCAGGAGTGAACAATCACTACTGAAGAGCAGCAGTGTCGAATGGTACAAGAAAGAGAGGGGAAAAATAGCACAGATGAAGAACTGTGGTGAGACTTGGAGTGTGAAAGCATTGTTTGCTGCAGGTGACAGAGCCAGGGATGTCCCACACCAGAGGAGGAGGAGCAAGCTGCAAACACAGCAGAGACCTGCTCTGGTAAGCTCTAACCTGAAATTCCTCATTTCCTCTGCAAGAATTTGGTGCCACTGAGTCACGCTTATGGCTGGGTGTAAGTCCCTTGTGGTCATCATATTTGACAGCAAGAAATGTCTGTGGGAGAAGTGAAATTAC